CTTCAAGTTGTATTTCACTAGGAGTTTTGTTGTTGAATTAATAAGCCTCCGGAACAGGGACTGTAAGGTACAGAATTTAGCGAAAACATGAGTGTGGTGGTGGTGGTGCACTGTAGAACGTCATGATTGGTCCACCATGACCGTTTGAATGTCTTGTTTGACGTGGTCGTCACAGGGTGCTCCTACATCACTTGTGACAAGACACCAGCGGTGTCAATGCTGAAATAAGCAGTATGAAGGATTCAAGGTAAAGAGTCTGCAAATCTTAACTCTGATGTTGTCTCAGTGGAAAAGGTCCTTCTCAACCTGTATGCTTTTGTAAAAGGTTCCATCTTCTACTTGTATGTGTGCTTTTGTGTTCAATATAGTTGGTGAAAGGCAGCTTTGGTTAGATGCAGGCTCTGTTTCAGTCGGAAGCCTGCACACTTTCTCATTGAGGTTTGCGTTTTCTTTTTCGGCCGTGCAACAAGATGGGTATGTGCTCCTTCTGGCTAGTGGAGTGTGAATTGAAGTCTAAGGATCTCTTCTTTAAAAGAAGATGCAGAGCTTCTTTAGTAGTTAATAGATTAAAGTTTGAATATGGAAATACTCTGTATGCTCACTTCAAAGTTTTCCTAGAACATCATGAAGTGATGGATAGTAAAATTCCTGACCTATAGCAGGGGCTTCACCTGTAGTCTTTCTTGCTTCCAAAATCTGTTGCACTGATATTCCTGTATCAAAGAAGAAATTTTGATAGCTTTAATTTACTTAGCTGCCTCTGTGTATCTCAAACTTATTTTTTTTAAAATCCTTCCACTGATTGGTCTCTGTTAGTCTGACTGATTTTTATGTTTCTGCTACATTGATTTTGTTCTAAGAAGTCCGTATTTGGCTTTTTCAAAAGGTTTATTTGGAAAGGTGCTCTTATTTGTCAGAATTTGTTGGGAAAAAAAATATGCAACAGCAGATAATTTGCCTCTGAAGGAGATAATGTAATACCAAAGAATCTAGAAGAGAGCATTTTTTGTATTTTATTTATCACTTTGTTTCTAAATGCTTCTTTGTTAACGCCCGATCAGGTAAGAAGGGATAGACAATTTAACAAGAGTTTGCTTGCCTTGGTGTATTTTTGTGTACAGTTTGTAACGTGTTTTTTCAGTCACCAATATCAGTTACTCCACCTTTGTTTCTTCCACCAACTCTTGCAGAACTTAGACTTTTGCTAAAAGGAACATGTTGGTGTGAAGAAGGACTGGTTTCTTACTGTGCTCTTTACTTGAAATAATAAGAGTCTAAGGAAATAAACATCTCTTATGCATGTGCCAGTGAGAAATATTAAATTACTAATCCAAGTGAATACATACTAAGGGAATTCGGACAGGCCATGAATTATGAAACTAATCCCTTTTCTCTGCAAAAATTAGAAATTTTTTTTATCCTCACAGTGCATGATGTGTTGCTTGGAATAAGTATTTACTTTCACGTAGCTTTATGCTAATGTTGGGATTGTACAAGAAGAGTCACTGTGAGCTGTAGAAGGTAGTTTAATGTATTATCTTTGAATTTTTTTTTGTGTGCTCAGTTACATTAAATGATGTTCGAAACTGGGAATTAAAGTGATGCATAAAATGGAAATACGTTGATAGTGCATAAACATGGTCTTAATTTGGTTGTGTTTGTCTAGGCACTATACTGAAGTGATCCTCCCATGACTCTAATGTCTCATTTCACTTGCAAACCAATAAAGTGTAGGCCCCAAACCTTGACTATAACTGTGTATGTCTCACAGAGGGAGTTGTGCTGGTGCTGGAGTTTAACATGGGGGGTAGCAAGTGGGAGAGGCTGGACTACATGAATTTAGAGGTGATTGCTGTCATGCCACATGGACCATTCAACAATGAAACAGTGGGAACCGAAGTGAGCCACTGTAGTTGTTAGCCATTGCTCTGAACTGCCAAAGCTACTACTCTTCTGAGATTTTTTTTTTTTTAATGGTCTTGTCCAGTGGTTATAGGTTCAGGAAAGATTGCTGCTCTTCTGTATACAAATGTATACTTTTAAGAAAAAAATATCTGGTAACCAAAGGTATTTGAGCAATGTAGAATGTATCCACTCTTTTTATCAGTAATGTAGAAGTCAGTAATTCCCATGTTTGTTTTATTCAGTGATACGGATTCAGATAGTTCATCAACTACATCTTCCTCTTCACATTCTCCTTCAACTGTATCTGATGAAGATGATCATCCAAATGAGAAGGATAACAGAACTTACTGTGTTAAAACAAAAGATGAGTTGCCTATTGATGTAAGTACAATGTGTTATTTTTTAAACGTTCTGATAACACAACTTAAAATATTTTAACTTAATATATTTTTAAGTCATTGCAATACGTAGTGATTGAATGTGTTTTTGCGGTAGTGCAGATACAACAGTTAATAACTAGAAATGTCTTATTTTTCAGTATATTAAGGCCACTCTGAAGTGAGGTTCACAGCTCATTTTAGGTTCACATTTGTGAAAAATCAGTTGTAATTAAAACAAATTTCTGGATAAAATTCTGGATGTTATAGTACCATTTTTGCTTATATATTGCAGGTTTTCATCATTCTTTCTCTGACAGACTTGAAGGTCTAATATGTCTTATAGATATATTTCAGATATGTTTATCTTTGAGGTAAAAATTTCAATTGTTGTATTAAGCCTTCCAGAGGTACATACAGAATTGCCTCTACTCTAAGCAAAATTATTAGAGTGGTCATAGAAATGGTTGTATTTGTTTTATTCTGCAGTTTTTGTTATAGCACTGTTTTATGTATTGCACATCAGAACCTTAATTTGAATCATAATTCTGTCTTTTGCATTTGATTCTTATAAATACCATATTCACTAAGTATTGCTGCCATTATTCCTCATTATCTCAAAATTAAGTTTAAAGGAATGAGTTTTCATAATAGTGTGCTAACGGATGATTAGCTATGCATCATTTGTAATGCATTACAAATAAAAGGATAATATAACAATGTCATGTCGATTTACATTAGCAGTATATTGAATCATAGAATCACGGTTTGGGTTGGAAGGGACCTTAAAGGTCATCTAGTTCCAACCTCTCTGCCATTGGCAGGGACACCTTCCACTAGACCAGGTTGCTCAAAGCCCCATCCAGCCTGGCCTAGAAACTTGCAGGGAGGGGGCATCCACAACCTCTCTAGGAAACCCGTTCCAGTGCCTCACCACCCTCACAGTAAAGAATTTCTTCCTTATATCTAATCTTAATCTACCCTCTCAGTTTAAAACTGTTACCCCTCATCCTATCCCTACCCTCACTGATAAAGAGTCCTTCCCCATTTTTCCTGTAGGCCCCCTTTAAGTACTGGAAGGCCACTATAAAGTCTCCTCTGAGTCTTCTCCAGGCTGAATGACCCCAGCTCTCCCAGTCTCTCCTCATACAGGAGGTGCTCCAGTTCCCTGATTATCTTTGTGGCCTGCTCTGGACCTGCTTGAGCAGGTCCATTTCCTTCTTATGTTGTGGGCCCCAGAGCTGCAAACAGCACTGCAGGTGGGGTCTCACGAGAGTGGAGTAGAGGGGGAGAATCACCTCCCTCCACCCGCTGCCTACACTTCTCTTGATGCCCAGGATATGTTTGCCTTTCTGGCTGTGAGCACACATTGCTGGCTCATAATCAGTTTTCCATCCACTACTACCCCCCAAGTCCTTCTCCCCAGAGCTGCTCTCAATCCACTCATCGCCCACCCTGTATTTGTGCTTGGGATTGCCCTGACCCATGTGCAGGACCTTACACTTGGCTTTGTTGAAATTCATATTTTCATGGACCCACCTCTGAAGCCTGTCCAGATCCCTCTGGATGGCATCCCTTCCCTCCAGTGTGTTGACACATCACACAGCTTGGTGTCGTTGGCAAACTTGCTGAGGGTGCACTCAATGCTGCTGTCCATGTCACCAACAAAGATGTTAAACAGGTCCCAGCACTGATCCCTTAGGAACGCCACCTGTCACTGCTCTACATACACATCAAACCATTGACCACAACTCTTTGACTGCAACCGCCCAGCCACTTTCTTATCCACCAAGTTGTCTATTCATTTAATCCATGTTTGTCTGATTTAGAGACAAGGATATCATGCAGGACAGTGTCAAATGCTTTGCACAAATCCAGGTAGATGGTGTCAGCTGCTCTTCACTTATCCACCAATGCTGTAACCCTATTGTAGAACGCCATCAAATTTGTCAGACATGATTTGTCCTCAGTGAAGCCATGTTGGCTGTAACAAGTCACCTCCTTATTTTTCATGTGCCTTAGCATGGTTTCCCAGAGGATCTGCTCCATGATCTGGCCGAGGACAGAGATGAGACTGGCCTATAGTTCCCTGTGTCTTCTTTTTTCCCATTTTTAAAAATGGGGATTATGTTTCCCCTTTTCCAGTCAGATGGAACTTCACTGGACTGCCACAACTCATCAAATGTAATGGATAGTGGCTTAGCCACTTCATCTGCCATTTCCCTCAGGAACCATGCATATATCTCATCAGGTCCCATGGACTTGCTGAGGAGAGGGGCTCTAAAGAGGATGGCAGTGGGGGGACCCTTCCAAAAGCATCAAAAAACCCGTAGCAAAACCACAAGCCGAGAAGGCAGAAGCACAGGGAAGTGGGAGTGTCTCAAGTCACCTCCCCTCTGAGCAGGAAGAGTGAGCTGCAAAGGAGGGCAGCAGGGACTCAAGAGTGGACAGAGACTGGAGTGATGACGCCCAGCTCCATCACGTACAAGAGCAGCCCCCAGGGAGTGCGGGCGACGGGGGCATGGCGTGTCAGTTAGTGCAAACAGGGCGAGCAGACAGGGCACAGTCCATCTGGGTCTAGAGTTTATCTGAGCTAGTTGTCGTCTTATCCTCCTCCATGAGTGGACTGAACCATGGGTCTCCACTTGTGTCAAAACCACCACCAGAAAGAACGTGGCGACCCAGATGTAGCTGCCACGCAGACATGCAGCTGTCCAGGTTCTGGGCTGCAGGGAGTGCCTGAGCCTGTCAATCCTGCTGGAGGGCAGCAGTGACAACACCTGCGTGTGCTGCGATCAACTGGATGGCCTGCTCAGCCTGGTGGTGGAACTCAAAAGAAGAGGTTCAAAGGTTAAGAAGTATTAGGGAGTGTGAAAGGGGAATTGATTGGTGGAGTAGCACCTTGGCACCCCTGAAGCAACAGGAGCAAATGGAGGCTCCAGAAGAGGCAGATGATCCCTCACCCTCTTGCTACCAGGCAGAAATAGGGAACCTAAGAGATGGGAGAGACTGGGAACAGGTCCCTGATCAGAGAGGCAGGAAAATTCCCTCCCAACCTCCCTCACCTTCCATGGTGTCCCTTCACAACAGATACGAGGCCCTGGAACTTTTGAGTGAAGCAGAGAAAGATGAAGAGAATGAGTCAAACAAGGAGGAAGATGAAGGTCCACCAAGGCTGGATCGCTCTAGATTGGTACTAAAACCAAGCCCAGAAGGTTCATTGTAGTGGATGACTGGATGAATCCATTCTGAGGGGTGTTGAAGCCCAATATGCAGACCAGAACCGCTTCACAGGGAGTTCTTCTGCCTCCCTGGGGCCTGGGTGAAGGACCTTACGGCAAAACTCCCCACTCTAGTGAGACCTAAGGACTACCACCCTCTCTTCGTTTTTCAGGTAGGTAGCTACGATATTACCAGGAGAAGTCCTAAATCACTAAAGAGAGATTTCAGGGCCTTGGGGAAACTGCTCAAGGGGTCAGCAGCACAAATAGTGTTCTCCATCTTTTCAGTTGCAGGGATAGATGAAGAAGAACAGAGAACTCAACATGTGAACTTGTGGTTCTGAGACTGGTGTTACCAGCAGGGCTTTGGATTTTTCAGTCACGTGTTAGCATACAGGATGCCAGGGAGGATGCACCTGTCCCAGAGCGGGTAAAGGATCTTTGGGCCAGAAGTTAGCTGGGCTCATTGAGAGAGCTTTAAACTAGATTTGAAGGGGGAAGGGGACAAAACGGAAGCTCCCAGACATAAGCCCCAGGGTAGATTACCAGAGTTTGTGGGCTGTTGTGCCAGAGATGACTCTCAGACTGCCATCTCAGTGGAGGCAAGGGATGGAGACATGCAGCACAACAAAGATACAGGGGATATTGATGTGTCAGTAACTGTGGTAACACCTGCGAAAGGTCAGGCTGGACTTAGGACCTCTAGAGGCAAAAAGGTGCTGGGGACATCATCCCAGCTGAAGTACATGTATACTAATGCACACAGTATGAGTAACAAAGAAGAGGAGCTTGAAGCCATGATGCAACAGGAAAATTATGATGTTGTGGCTATCACAGAAGCATGGTGGGATGTCTGCCATGACTGGGTGCATCAGTTAATGGCTACAAGCTCTTTAGAAGGGATAGACAAGGAAGGAGAGGCAGTGGGGTGGCCCTGTGATTGCTTTGAGCGCAAGTGTAGTGAAGACAGGGTAGAATGTCTTTGCATTAGAATCAGCAGGAAAGCCAACAGGGCAGATGATGTAGTAGGAGTCTACTATAGGCCCCCCAACCTGGACAGAGAGGTGGATGCAATATTCTATAGGCACTTAGGAGAAATGTCCCGATCACTTGCCCTTGTTCTTGTGAGAGACTTTAACTTCCCAGACATCTGCTGGAAATACAACACAGCAGAGCGGGATCAATCCTGGAGGTTCCTGGAATGTGTGGGAGGTAACTTCCTGACACAGCTGGTGAGTGAACTGAGCAGAGAATGTGCCCTGCTGGATCTCCTCTTTGTGAGCAGTGGAGGACTCGTGGATGATGTGGTGGTTGGAGGCCGACTAGAGCACAGTGATCATGAAATAATAAGAGTTCTTAGATAGACCAGGAGAGGGGGCAGCAGAACTGACATCCTGGACTTCCAAAGGGCTGACTTTTTATTGTTTAAGCAATTGCTTGACAGAATCCCTTGGGAGATGGTTCTGAAGGGTATAGGGGTCCAGGAAGGCTGGAGACTGTTTAAGAAGGAAGTGTTAATGGCACAGGAGCAGGCGGTCCCCAGGCACTGTAAGAGAAGCTGGGCAGCAGAGAAGACCACCTTGGCTAAACAGGGAGCATTGGCTGCAACTTAGGGAGAAAAAGAGAGTTTACAGCCTTTAGAAAAAGGAGCTAGCCACTCACAGTGATTACAAAGATGCAGGGCGGAAATCAGGAGGTCTGAAGCCCAGCTAGAAATTAATCTGGCTTCAGCAATCAAGGATAACAAGAAATTTTTCTCTAGGTATGTCAACAGCAAAAGAAAGACCAGGGAGAGCCTCCATCCCTTGTTAGACACAGGAGGAAACATGGTAATGAGTGATGAGGAAAAGGCTGAGGTGCTTAATGCCTTGCTTGCCTCAGTCTTTAATAGCAAGTTGTACTGAGGGAATCCAGCCTCCTCAGCCAGAAGACAGAGCCTGGCAGAATGACACCCCCACATTCCAGGAGCAGAGAGTCAGTGACCTACTGCACCACACAGACACACACAAGTCTATGGGACCAGATGGGATACACCCGAGGGTGCTGAAGGAGCTGGCTGGGGTGCTCGCCAAGCTGCTTTCCATCATTTACCAGCAGTCCTGGCTGATCGGGGAGATCCCAACAGATTGAAAATTGGCCAATGTGACACCCGTATATAAGAAGGGTTGGAAGGATGCTCTGGGAAATCACAGGCCTGTCAGTTTGACTTTGGTGCCCTGGAAGCTGATGCAGCAGCTCATCCTGAGTACCATCACGCAACACATGCGGGACAACCAGATGATCAGACACCATTAAGTATGGGTGTATGAAAGGCAGGTCCTGCTTGCAAACCTGATCTACAACAGGGTGACCTGCTTATTGGATGAGGGAAAGGCTGTGGATGTAGTTTACCTTGACTTTAGTAAGGTCTTTGACACCATTTCCCACAGCATTCTCCTGGCAAAACTGGCTGCTTGTGGCTTGGATAGGCACACACTTTGCTGGGTAAAAAAATAGTTGGATGGTCGGGCCCAAAGAGTTGTGGTGAATGGAGTTAAATCCAGTTGGCGGCTGGTCACGAGTGGTGTCCCCCAGGTCTTGTTTTTGGGGCCACTCCTGTTTAACATCTTTATTGATGATCTGGAAGAGGGGATCGAGTGCACCCTCAGTCAGTTTGCAGATGACCCCAAGTTGGGTGGGAGTGTTGATGTGCTCGAAGGTAGGGAGGCTCTGCAGAGAGACCTGGACAGGCTGGAGCCATGGGCTGAGGCCAACTGGAGGAGTTTCCATAAGGCCAAATGCCGGGGGCTGCCCTTGGGCCACAACAACCCCCAGCAGCGCTACAGGCTTGGGGAGGAGTGGCTGGAGAGCTGCCAGTCAGAGAGGGACCTGGGGGTGTTGATTGACAGCCCGATGAACAGGAGCCAGCAGTGTGCCCAGGGGGCCAAGAAGGCCAATGGCATCCTGGCTTGTGTCAGCAGTAGCGTGGCCAGCAGGGACAGGGAAGGGATCTGACCCCTGTACTCGGCACTGGTGAGGCTGCCCCTTGATTCCTGTGTTCAGTTTAGGGCCCCTCACTCCAAAAAGGACATTGAATGACTCGAGCGTGTCCAGAGAAGGGCAACGGAGCTGGTGCAGGGTCTGGAGCACAGGTCATATGGGGAGTGGCTGAGGGAACTGGGGGTGTTTAGTCTGGAGAAGAGGAGGCTGAGGGGAGACCTCATCGCCCTCTACAGCTCCCTGAAAGGAGGCTAAAGACAGATGAGTCCCCTTAACCAAGTAATAAGTGATAGAACAAGAGCTAATGGCTTCAGGTTGCACCAGGGAAGGTTTAGACTGGATATTAGGAAGCATTTCTTTACAGAAGGAGTCGTTAGGTGTTGGAATGGGCTGCCCAGGGAGGTGGTGGAATCCCCATCCCTGGAGGTGTTTAAGAGTCGGGTTGACTTCGCACTGAGGGATATGGTGTAGTTGGGAACTGTCAGTGGTAGGTTAATGGTTCAACTGGATGATGTTCAACATCTTTCCAACCTAGATGATTTTGTGATTCTGTGACTTGTGTACCTTCAGGTTCCTTAGATGGTCTTGAACCTGCTTTTCTACATTGCGTGGTTTTTCATTCTTCCTGCCCTTGCCTTTGCCTTCTGCAACTTTGGCACTGTGGCCAGAGCACTTGATGGTGAAGACTGAGCTAAAAAAGTTATTGAGTACTTCAGCCTTCTCCATATCCTGGGTAACCAGGTCTCCTGTTTCCTTGGTGAGAGGTCCCACATTTCCCCTAGTCTTCTTTTTATCACCAACGTACCTATAAAAGCTTTCCTTGTTGCCCTTGTTGTCCCTGGACAGATTTAATTCTATCAGGACTTTGGCCTTCCTAACCTGATCCCTGATTGCTTGGACAGTTTCTCTGTATTCCTCCCAGGCTACCTGTCCTTGCTCCCACCATCTGTAGGCATCCTTTTTATGTTTGAACTTGTCCAGGAGCTCCTTGTTTATCCATATGTTTATCTGTTATTCTATAGATCTCTCCCCTTCATAAAAAAAGCTTTCTGGAATGGGAAACCAGTCCATTGAAGGGTACAAGACGTTATTAGATAGGTAGAGAAAAAGAATCTCTGAAGAGCATTGACATGAATTAGTAGTAGCAACAAGAGGAGCTAGGAGCATGTTAATTCCTAAACTGTGTCTTTAGAGACACTTTGAGTAAAGAAAAGCTCTTAGGATATTCTTTTATCCCTGAAATTAATAAAAGATTGAGAAACACATTCTGTTTTCTGGAGTAAAGCATCAGAGCAATTGCTGCTTATCTGGACTTGGTTTTGAAGTACGATTAGTAGTAAAACCAATAAAAGTGCTTCTATGAATTTTTTTTTTTTACAGCACTAGACTTCTCAACAAAAATCCTTGCACAAATACATGTATAACCTTAAAAAGGTTATATTTGCCTTTTATCTCATTTAAATAAAAGTCATGTTACTCTGAAAATGCTTTGTTGATCTGCTCATTTGTCTAGCCTACCAGCTAAGTCCAAGTGTTTATGAAACATTGTCTTCCTTTTAATTACTGGCTTGAGTAATTTCATTGGTTCAGCGAAGCTATAGCTTTCTGCTAATGATAGTTAATAAGAACTGAAGTTCTTGAAACTACACTGTTTACTGTATCTTGTACTAAGCCATTCTACAATAGAATTAGGCTATGTAAAAATTTACAGATTGTGTTATGTAAATTTGAAGGAACACAATTTGAAAATTGAAATGTGTCTGTTAAAAATGAAACATGATGTTTTGTCTTCTACCCCAAAGTCCCCAATAATAGCTAATTTTCTAAAGCATGGGTCAAACATAAAATAAAAAATTAAAGAAAGTATTTAACTTCAATATGTACTTGAGGGGAAAAAAACCTGCATGTATTAAGGAGTGTGGAACTATTTTAGAAACCTCCTGCTTTGAAGCGTAGGATTGGCAAATAGTGTACACAATATGACAGATGGTACAGTTTACCAATCTGAGATTTATGATCAGAAATTCAGCTTTCTTCTTTCTGGTCTTTGACCTTTGAATTGGTCTGACATCCATGACTCGATTAAGTTTTAGCAGTGAAGTTGTTTTAATGTTGGAAGACTTACTGTCCTCTAGAAATGTGTGGCATTTCTATTTGAATTCACGTTTTGACTTCAATGCTGTATTATATGATCTGAGAAAGTCTTGGCTTCTCTTTGGTCTTTGATTTGCTCTAGAAGCCTTTGCCAAGCACTTTTGTTAAAAGTGAAGATTATCAGGTGAATTTTTTATCAGACAGGATAAGATTCTTCTGTTGGAAAGGGATTTTTTTTTCTGGTGATGGCCTTTAGAAGTGGTTTAGTGCTAAGATTTGTACTCTACCTCCAAATTCAGAAGATGTTGAATTTGAAGATAATTTCTACTCTAGTTGCTCTTACCTTGTATTACATATAGTCCATATTGAATTCACAGTAGTATATACACAGAAGTCTTAGTTTATTAGTAAATTGAAGGTAGATGATGAGTTCAGTGTTAATCAGCCTTTGATGGCAGATTTTGATGCTTACATTTGAGGTAAAAAATTAATTTGAATATTTTTTGTGTAGTACTCACTTGTATACCTGAAGTTTGGCCTTTTTTTTTGAAAGTGTTCTCTGTGATTATCCTCTTGTACCAAATCCAACTTCTACCTAAAAATAATTCTCTTTGTATAGGTTGTTGTCATCTTTACATCTATAATCGTCCGAGTCATGGCATAAATGCACAGATGCCATTTTGTTGAATCAGATGATACATTATCTGGTGTATTTCATACTGTTTTATCTCTTGCTCTGTAAATTGTTTTTCTGTCACACACTGAATGTGGTTACAAGTTGTCTGGTTTTTTTGATTACTGATTATTACTGTGTTGTACATTGAACTTAATTTATCTAACTTGAAAGTTAGTAAAAATGAACAAAATGTCTATCAGGTTTTGGTTTTCTCCAGTTGAATAAAATTGGCTTCTATTTTAGTTTCAATGGAAATATGTAGACTAGCGTCTCAATCGAAAAGTGTCTTCAGAAGCGTCATTTGCCCAAGATGAGTTAATTTGGGATGATTCTGAAAGAGACAAATCAAACTAGATTATTTTTATTAAATCTTCAAAATGCTGGGAGGTTTTTCTGATTGTCAGATTTATGCAGCAACAAAGTGATGAATGTCTTAGTGTGATGAGATTATATTCTGAACATTGACTTGATATTTTCAGGAACTGCCTCCTGTTGAAGATTTGTCAATAATTCTGCCTGATGATGTTGAACTGAAGCTCTTTGGGACAGTTTCTAGCATCATTGAGCAGCTAGGTAGGCAAGATATGTTTGCTTTGTTTTGAATTAAAATAGTTTCTGTATAACTCTGCATTAATAGTGTAATTAACTGTTCCCTCAACTACTGTAGCATTCTATTTCAGGGGTAGTGGGTTGCTGAATGAGAATTTGGACTACCAAATGACACTTGTGTTGAATTTCCTTTTAGTTGACTTACATCTGAAGATTAAGATACTGTGACTATCGTGCGTGTGTTTCTGAGTAACCTTCATGTTCTGATTTTTTCATTAAAAAGCCTTTTTTCGCCGTGTGTTGTGATCTTTATCTTCTGGCAACAATAAGATTGAACATTTGCAGTATTTTAAGAAAATCTTGCAGGTGTACATGCTATATTTGAATTATCTCTGAAGATATGGAAGGTGTATAACTGAAAGCACAGATACAGTCAATCAAGTGCTTGTTTGTTAATATACAGACAGGAAAAAAGCTTGTTTCTTTAGCAGTGCAGGTTCTTTGTTTGTTTGTTTGTTTGTTTTGTTTTATTTATCCCACTTCTGACACTTTGACCAAATAAATGCAAGCTGCCAGTGTCAGCAGTCATAGGACAGCATGAGTAACATGATTTATAGGGGGGCTGGAGGGTAAGCTTAATGGGATTGAGACATATGATGGATGTAAGCTTAACTGCAGGTATATGCATTTAGGCATCTTTTCAGACCTACCTGGGACCTCAGTTTTTCATATATGAAATCAAAGTTTTGCTGAAGCTGATATTAATAAAACAGCTATAGTATGTATTTAAGCTTATTTTGAGTGTTCCATTATGCCTGAATGGCTTTCAAAGCAATTTGCTTATGAGAATTAGATAATAAGTTCAATTTTGAAGTTAAAGTATTTATGTTGCTGGGGTATAAAACAATTAAAGCAAATAGCCTTTCCTATTAAATTTTCTTTTATTGTAAAGATTCCAGGTAATACAGGCAATTCCTTTACAGCGTTTTTTTTTGTTGGTGGTGTTGATTTGAAGTTAGATTTAATTTCATTCATGTGTAGGAAGCTGTCTTGAAAGTGTGGAAGGTAATAATGTCATCATTGTCCTTTTGTTCTAGTTTTCCCTTTCTTGCTTATTGATAATAATGGGGACTTCAAGAAGGCTGTTTTCAGCTAAAATGATAGTTTGAAAATAAGTTAAAAGAGAAATGGTTGAATCATAGTTTGCTGTTCTTTTTGATCTAATATGTGAGGTTTTAAACAAAGCTATTTTTAGTCTTCAGTTTTGAAAACTGTCCTTAATTTGTAACCCTTCTTGGTGAGTATAATCTTTTCAAATCCTATCAGTTTACTGACAGATGAATTCTTTGGTTTGCATCCTACTTTATGTAACTGAAATATATGTTGAATTTAGACTGCTTGGTGAAAGTTAGAAAACAGACTAATAATTATACATGAAAGAAAGTCATAGAAAGGGAATAAAACGTCAAGATACATGTTATTTTTCTGCTTTTTACTACTTTGCTTTATGACTTCCTCTTTCTACATGTTTTCCTTTCTTTTCAGTTATGGAAATAGGTGTCTTGAGTGGCTTCACTTTCAATTGATTTGTGGCCGTATTAGGGTCTCTGCCAGCTTATTGTGGGTTGTTTTTTTGATTTTTGAACTAAATTGATACCTATGTATACCGGGTTTGTATCTAGTATGAGGGGAGTTGAGGTCTCATTTGGAAACCACAAACATTATTTTAGTCCAATAGTCTTCTGAACACTTTCTGTCTGTCCTGTTGATGTATCAGAAATCTCTGCTGTTCTCTGTAGCAAGACTCCAAGTTCATAATCTGCAGTGTGTGATGCCTGTAAATTGGGTATTTCATACTATGTAGTGAATTTAAGGCTGGAACAGTATAGGTTCACGCTAGCTTCATACTAGCTAAAAAGCAAGATGTCAGGTCTGAACCTGAGCAGAAGTTCACAGGATCAGAATTTAAAAGAACTTTTGCTGTGTTTTACTTCAAGGTACTTGGAGAAGAGAAAAATTCACTGCATGGGTTGTAGCCTGAAAAGTAAATAGCTTTGGTGCATGTGAGAAACCTGCCCTGGGACTGCTTTGGGGCCTGAATGAGTAGAAGCTGAGTATTTTGGGTGGGTTGGGGTAGGAAAAGCTGTAAGTCAGATAGGCTGTAGGTGATAATGTCTCTCCTGGGTTTCATTGGACTGGCATGACTTACGTTTTTAGAATATTGTCCTTAGCCTGCTGGAAGGCTGGGGGCTATGTGTGATCAATCAAGTTGAGAGCATTCTCTGAGAGTTTTTGGTGTGTGTGGTTTTTTTGCGTTTTGTTTTGGGTTTTCTGTTGTGGGTGGGTTTGTTTTTTTTTTTTTTGGCTAAGGTATATTTCTCATGAGGGTTAAGCAACACATTGGATTCTTTCAGTGCATATTTTATTATATAGGTAGGCACAAAATAAACTGATTTCCCTAATTCTCTGAAAATTCAGTGAACTGCTACGCCTCTAGCATTGTCACAAGCTTTCTTGGCATGTCATAAAGTGTTTGCAGATTGAAATAGTACCAAAGCTTGAGTTAGCTTTGAGATGTTTATTGCTTTCAGTTCTGTTATGCAAGTTTAGCAGTGATAATCTTTTTAGTTTTTGTTGAAGTCTGAGTGACACTAAGTGCTTGAGTGACTTTTATTTACTGATGGAGAGATATTGAGAATGCTTAATTGAGTGTTCTGTTGTTTTAGAGATAGGAAGGATTACCTTCAAAATCAGAATTTTTGAGTGTAAAGCTGCTAGGCTTTTGTATTGACACATTTGAGCATGATCCCTGCTGAATGTAAAAGAATACATGGTATTTCTGTAGACTAAGCAACAAACGTGAATGACTACCCAAGAGGAGAGTGAACTACTCTGAAGATTTCAGTAAAGAATAAGCTCTATGTGTCTGAATCTGGAAAAACTAAAGTTGCCTGTATATCGAATTACGTATTTAAGGAAGAAGAACATGCTTATATGTCCATTTATAAGTGTTTAAGTCTGCTAAGTGTTAAGATTTCATATTTTGATCTACTAGAAGGACTTGCTCGCTCTGACCACTTATACTATCAATAATCATGGTTTAGGCCGAAATGTGGTATGAGGCTTATATGACATTAAATTGCAGAATTGTATTTCAGATTGTGTGTCTGCATACATAAATGACACCACCAGTTGCTACTGTGACTGGACTGCCAGACATCTTTTGTGTTCTAGTCTGATTCTTATGACTTATTAGGGGAAGCATTCTTTTTTCCAAGGAGAACTTCATCTGGCATACTAAGAAGGCAGAATATAAAGATGTATCTGCACTCAAAAAATCCCAGGTTATTGCTGATGTAACTTAATCAAGAACCATCCTCTGTAAATACAAGTATCTCACACATAATGTATCTGGGGCTTTTCTTTTGTACCTGTCATCTGGTTTCCTTTCTTTCTCCACCCCAAGAGAACAATAATTCTGTAAAAAAATGCAGATCTTACCACTCATATGTCACTGGAGAAAGGGTATATGGTTATAAGTAGTTTTGTGTGTGCACAAGAATTTCTGGGTGAAGCTCTATGAACTTTAGTGGACAAATAATGGTGTTGTTTGTTAAGTTTCTCTGCAATTAACTAAATGCTGCTGTTGAAATATAAAATTCTAATTGATTTTTTTGTCCATTTTAGTAATAATTGAATCACTGAGAGGTCTACCTCCGGTAAATGAAGAAAGCATAATTTTCAAAGAAGACCGGCAAGCAGCAGGAAAGGTGTGTGTAAAACATAAAAACCTGCTATTCTAATATAAAATTCAAAGTTTTCTTTTATGTTCCAACAAATAGTGTTGAAGTTGACTAAATGAAAGATAATGTTTCCTTAATATGTCGTTTTTCTTTTGTGCTTTTGACTCTTGCTATAGTAATCTATTTTTTAATCTCAATAATTCCTAACCTGGAATTCATTGCATCCTTATAGAATTACTATGTGTGATAAATTTTTGCTGTTTTATGAAAGTACTTGCGGGGAGGGAGAGGTTGATTTATGTTGCATTATGTCTAGAATAACATGCTGTGCTCTTTTATTGCCAGGAGTTGGGGGCAAAGGTTTGAGAAATTAATCAAGTTTCATGAAAAACAGGAAATGCTTACATATCTACTCTGCTGTTTCAGTTTAAGGCCAGTGTGAAGAAAGTTTGCTGAGAAGGGTGTCACACTGAATTTTGTATGTTATCTGGGAGGGGACAGCCATCATCTAGAATGGTTACTACTATAATATCTTTGAATGCTAGATTGAGTGAAATAAAAAACTCAGCCTGAAATTGCACATATTCTGCACATCTCAGAATTCTCTGCTCTTCATGAAATAGGGGAACAGACAGAGGAACTGACATAAAGGTGTCTTGTAAAGACAAATAAATGATCAGGATGTTGTTCCACGTGTAAGAGATTTGAAAGTATAATGGAGAGTGAATAGATATTTGATAAAAGGAAAGATTACTGAAGTAAAGGAAGCAGACAGTGAAAGCAGTACAGTTGGGTGGCCAAAGGCAACATCAACATGTGAGAACTTTTCCACATTATAACTTAAACAGTATCTGGGGAAATATACTGTTAAACAAAATGTAATAATCAAAGCATGAAAGTACCTTTATTTGATGCTACATTTCAAAAATATCTCAAACTTCTTAAATACAAAGCATCTTAAAGGTTTATGGTTTTCTACAGTGAAATTAGCTATCTACTCTTGGTTTATTTAAACATTTTAATTTTGTTTGCATTTCAGATATTTGAGATCTTTGGTCCTGTTTTACATCCCTTTTATGTGTTGAGATTTAACAGCTCTGAGCATATCAAAGCAAAAGGTATAAATGTGCAAGATAGCATGTATTTTGCTCCATCAGTGGAGGACTTCACCCAGTATATATTTGCAGAGAAACTGAAACAGTGAGTCTGATGATTTTTATTTTTTTTTTCCTAATCTGGTTATAATATATTTTTTTAATATAGCTAAAAGTACTGGATTAAAGTTTAGCCTTGAGTGAGAAACTGTAGCTTGACACTAGAACTTTTCTTATTTTAGATATTCTCAATTGTGTTGTAATAACAAGGTTGTACTGTTTTGCCTTTTGGAACAGTACAGAGTAACTGTAAACTCAAAATTCCAAGGTTTTACAATTAATAAAATTTAGTAGCTTCTTATTCAATTTAATATACTAAGCCTTCTTTCTTTTCATGTTTCTGTGTTACCTAAAATATCATAACTAGAAAAAAATTTATGGATACTTCCCTCACCTACAACTTGTTTGAATTCTGAACAAGTTTGTATTTATTTTCTATTTTTATTTCATGTTCCAAGGCCAGAATTGAAATTTAATTATCAATAAATCTATTGTACAGTTGGAGAATGACAATTCTGTATGAAAATCACCTACTGTAAATTTGGGAGAAGCATTTGAGTGGCAATGTAGTGTGATGTTCAGAAACTTCTAGTGTTTGTGTATCCCAGTCTGCCTGAGGAAAGCAGCACGTATGAATAGGACTTGTTGCCATTTAAAGGTAGCGTACGCAAAGATACAGAATGAGAAATAAAGTGTAACAAATGACTGCTAGACATTAATGTTCCAATTGTTGATGAATAATTGTCTGAAATGACTATAAGTTAAAAAAATCTTTTGTCATAAAAGTGATTGTAGTCTCTGTCTATTAGAACTAGTTCTCATCTGTCTTGCAGATTTTTTTTACTATAGCCAATAGTATTGGTGTTTGCATTAATTGCAACTCTGCCAGTATTCATATTGAATAATTTTTTTCTTTAGTTAATGCATGGGTGGCCAGGCTTGCAGGAGTTTTTTGTGGGGTTTTGTTTTTTTTTTTTCCAATTCTGTGGAAGCAGCAAGCATATTTTTTTCTTTCAGTGAAGACCAAATTAGATCATCACACTCTCACTCTGCTGCTTGTTTGTTTTTCTGCAGCATTTTGATGCCAGCTGGTCTTTGATTTATTCCATTAAACTTTGTTGCTTAGCACAGTAACTGCAGAGACTTTGTCCTGCTTTAATCATGTGCTTGCTACACAATAACTGTGCCATACTCAAACATAAGTCTCACATCTCCGATACTTACTTGGTTACATGCTTTGCAAGTATTAATAGTCTGGGGAACTATTTGTCTTGTTGTAGTACTTTAGTACTATCTCATGGGGTACGAAACACTAGGTAAGATGTTTCACACTTTGACTTATCAGTGGAGCTGAACAGTGCATCAGACATTGTTTCTTGCCCTGCATTAAAATGAGCAGTGTGAACATATGTGCCCAGGTGACCAAGAAGGCCAATGGCATCCTGGCCGCACCTCGATTCCTGTGTTTGGTTTTGGACCCCTCACTACGAAAAGGACATTGAATGACTCGAGTGTGTCCAGAGAAGGACAATTAAGCTGGTGCAGGCTCTGGAGCACAGGTCGTACGAGGAGCGGCTGAGGGAACTGGGGGTGTTTAGTCTGTAGAAGAGGAGGCTGAGGGGAGACCTCATTGCCCTCTACAGCTATCTGAAAATGGCTAAAGAGAGATGAGTCTCTTTAACCAAGTAACAAGCGATAGGACAAGAGGTAATGGCCTCAGGTTGCGCCAGGGAAGGTTTAGACTGGGTATTAGGAACCATTTCTTTACAGAACAGGTTGTTAAGAGTTGTAATGGGCTGCCCAGGTCAGTGGTGGATTCCCCATCCCTGGAGGTGTAAGAGTCGGGTTGACATAGCACTTAAGGATGTGGTGTAGCTGGGAACTGTCAGTGTTAGGTTAATGGTTTGACTGGATGATCTTCAAGGTCTTTTCCAATCTAAGTGATTTTGTGAACACCTGTGTAATCTGGCCTAAACACTAATTTCTAAATGATGTGATATAAGTTACATTTCACTGAAATGATTTTATTTCTGTCAGTAAAGTTTCTTAAGCTTTTGTGAGGCAATTGGTACTGTTTGTTGAAGCTGCCTTTTCACTGAAAAAGGATAAAGAATTTTGATTTCTGACCTAATGTTTCTATAAAGAAGCCATGATGTCATGGATAGTAGAAAAGTTGAGATTTGGTCAGTGCTTCACAAGATGGTGTGCAGACCATCTTGTAGAGTACTATAGGCTTAAAGCTTTAGAACTGCTCCTCAAAACTGTGATGGCACTTTGAAAAGTAAAGGAATCAGGATTAAGATCTGAAAGAAACCTTAAGTTTGAAGCTTTTTTTAAAAATCTAGAATGCAATCTGCTTGCATTGTATGAAGTTGCAGTGCTATGAATAAGCCTTACACTTTATTGCAAAATAAATGAAAATGTAGTGTAAAACTTCCTGAATGCAAAGTAATATGTTGCTAAAAATAGATTAGTGTTGTTTTGCTTGAAATGCAAAGTAATTCTAAAAAAGCTCATGTATTTTCATGATTCCTTTGAGTTCACCTTCTGTTAGACTTCTAGGTCTTATAATATCTGAGTTCAGAAATCAAAGAATTCCTATCTTATTCTTTGCATAACATTATTAAGTATCTCAGAGCATGAAAAGTGTTTTGTATTTCACTGAAATGGGGAAGGCTGTCTTGGGAGAGGGAGATAAGCTGCCTGAAAAACTTAAAGCTTAAATTTTTCAGTCTGTGGTACTACATATTGACTAATGACGAAAGATCTTGCATGCTCTGGTATTCCTGGCAGGCATGTATTGTCCTGAAATAACAAGATGAGAGGGAGAAACAAAGAAGTTGGTTCATAATAAAAAATAACAGTGTTACTTTTCATCTTTGCATAGGTAGTTTTCTTCAACCAAGGAATTACTCATATAGAGCCCTTATCTTCCTTTTCTCCCTTAACATTTTTTCTAATTGAACTTTAAAATGGCTTGCTTGCTAATATGATTTGCTTATAATCACAGAGGTGGTGTATCTTTATGGTTTTCTAGTAATAGAGATTGAGCTTCAGTTTTATGGTTAGGGCTTGAGGCACAAAGTACCACCAGATGACTTGCCAGTGTTCTCATGGGCAGCCTTTGACTAAGGGCCTTATAAGTCCAGGCTACGTAGAGCTGATGCTTATGCATTTGATGTAGCTTTTGCTGCTTAATTGTTGCTGATTTGATGAATACATATGAGAGCACTGATTGAAGGATTTCACACTGAACATGTTGATGTTTCTAACTGTACGGTTCCATTTTGCAGGTAAGAATTTTCAATATTGGATTATTTCATGTAGTTTGTCTGCATGGATAAAGATTGTTTCTTGACGTTTTAGACCAAAACATAGTGTGGAAAAACCTTCCATAGACTTTTAACAGCATAATTTAAAATAGTACCACAGATTTGTTACTAATCAAAGAAATAACTTGATTTTTAGCGAACTTCTTAGTGTTGGGTGGATTAAATTATACCACTTCAAATTAATTTTGGTGCTTGTCAGGCAAGACAATTGAATTTTTGCTTCCTTAAGCATATTTTACCTTGCTTTTTAATTTTATATTTACAGCAAAATAGAAGATGAAACCTAATTATTTAGCTAACCCTGTCTCAATAAAATTATAAGCCAAGCTTAGAGGGTTTTTTGGTTCCAAATTCACTTTGCTATAGTTACACTTTAAGCCTGTGTCCTACTAGACCAGTTCCTTTTTAACTGGCAATATGTTCTGAAACCAGAAGAATGCTTGTCACTGTAGTCAGCAGTTAGTCAGCGTAAGAAAGTTGCAGTGAACTACCTCAATTTAAATTCAAAAGGGTATGTTAAGAGAATATTGACCAAAGCTTAATATTAGCTGTGTGACATGTTCAGACTCAGAGTAGGAACATTTTTCAATTGGCATATGAAGTGAAGTCTGAAGTTGACACATACATGTAAGGAACTGAAGGAAGTGATGCCTCAAACATTCATCAACCCAGAAAACCTCAAGGACAAGCTGTGGCCTTTGAGTTAGTTTAAGGAATGTCACCCAGGGAAGCGGGAGTGTATGGAAGGATGCACCCCCCTTGCACTTGCATTGACAAACTCCTTAGATAAACCTCAGAAGCGGGAGACATGGACTGAGTGAAACCAGGTTGTTTCCCCTCAAGCACAAATACCGATAAACCTGATACTTTGTGGCTCTATGGTGCAAGCCAGACACCAGGCTTGCCTTGCTAATGACTTTGCATCTTCACCATTGAAGTGGTAAGAAGAACTGATCGCCTCTGGGATGACCAATAAGAAGCATGAATTCAGCAAAAATCTCTGGGAACAGAGGAAAAAAACAAAGCCAGACAGGGCGAGTATGACCACTGACTCAGTTGGAGTTTGTGGAATACCTGCCCATCCTCATCTAGTATGCTAATCAACTGATAAGATGAATTTAAAAGGGGCCAGAAACTGCTGTGTGTGCACCCACCACTCAAGTGGGACCGTTACTGGACCTGAGACAATGCTGGATCCAGGGGTGGTGGTCCAGATTTCTTTGACCCCTTTCCCCTTTCCTCTTCTTCTTATGGATTTATAAGAGACCACATTGCTTATTATCCTTTTTCAAGTTTAAACTGTTTTCTACCGCAAGTAAAACATTTTAACAGGTCGTTTGATGTCGTATCACTTCGGGGGCATCACAGAACTGTTGTGAATCTCTGGGCTTCCAGTCTGGATCGTGACAATACATTACTGTTCCTTTAAAAACAACATTAAAAACCAAATGCGCTTTTTAAAATGGGCAGCTTCTGGTTTAGGAGATCTGATACCCTATTTGGTGCAATACAGTTCTTGCAAATTATTTCTAACCTGGAATATGTTGCTACTGCATGATCCAAATGAGATGTTTCATAGCTTGCTTACAATCTTTCTTCATCTTGGTTGTCTGATTTGTGGTTTGTTTTGTTTTGGTTTTTTTTTTCTTTCAGAGAAAAAGGTTCAGATGCATCTTGGAAGAACGACCAAGAACCACCACCTGAAGTAACTACTTTTTTTTGTGGTTTATTATTTTTGATTACACAAGATATGTATAAGAAAATTTATGTGCAGAATAACTAATTAGCAAGCTTTTTACATAAATGAGTTGGATGAACCTCTTTTCATTGCAAATAAGGTTTCTTGAAGAGGTCTCACACACAGTTGGTGTAGAGTGTGCTAGCTGTATTCTTTTCCTTTTTGCAATCGGAAGATTGTGTATCTTTGTCTTCAGTTCCTCTAGTCCTTCAAGAGCATGTATTGCAACCTGAATGTTTAGCTTTGAGTATCAGTGCTTTTACCTTGCCTAACAGTTTTGCTTCTGCTATGAAATTTTTGTCTTTGTTCTTTCACTGCAGCTCTCTGTTTTACCTTGCCACAATTGTCCACAGTTGGACAATTTGTCTAGAAGGATGTTGTGAGAGACAGTATCATGCTGTGAGGGACTGTATCAATTTTTATATTCACAGTCCTTATCCCAGGCTTTTTGTTCTTGTTTGAAGGAGAGATGTTGTGATGGACTTTTCTGTGGTTGAAGACAGGTCCTGTAATGATTATCAGTCTCAACCCAGAATGTTTCTTTTCCTGCTATGGATGGAATGATGCATTTTGAAATATCTTTCTTTCTTCCCACAAACAAAACTGACCAGAGCAGTGTTAACTTCTCTCAAACAATGCTGTCTGTCAGGTCTGACTGTAAATAGCCTTCCTTTCTTAGGGAGACATAATTTCACAAATGTCATTTGAGAATCAGAAATGTTGCATAGAATTGGACTGTGGGTATGTGGTGAACAGAGCTTTGAAAGACTACATACTTAGAAACTTTTGGCTAGTCTTAGCTTTCCTTTGTTGAACAGTTTTCTAGTGGTGATGACACAAAATGTGCTTATTGGCTAATGGTGAGCTTTTTTTTTAGTTTTAGTCACTTTTTTAAAGCTGTTTGGGAGATAAGCTTGTAAATGTGTAATCTGAATTTGTAGGAACCTAAGTAACTTTAAAACTTGGCTAAATACAGTCAAGCAGTCAGATCTTCTGCAGATACAGATTCATTTCTTTTTCCAAAGTTGTTTGGGTTGGGTTTTTTATGATGTTTCTTAATTTTAATGATGATACTGTTACCTTCAAGTTAAAATCTGGAAGTACAGGAAGTACTTCAGGTTCCTCACTGTAGGAAGGAATGAAGATTGAACGAAATCAGTGATGGCAAGGATGGGCAAACTTGATTCCTTGTTGTGACACCTTTGTTTCCGTTGCTTTCTGACTTTGTGATATATCTGTGTGCTCTGTTGTGGAGAAAATGCCACATGTAACATCTTGCAGTCCTGAACTAGAATAATCTGTGGGTAGTTATCCCAGTTACAGTTTACACTAAGGTATCCAAATTGTGACAGCTGATGAGCTGATAGAAAGTAGCTTTTGCTGTGAAGCTAATAGCTGTTGACAAGGGTGCAGATTAAATTTTATGCTACTGGTGCTTGAAATTGTGTTTTACAGCCTCTTTTAGGGCCCTCAGCTGGTAGCTGATTCTGTAACTTCTCTGGCTAGTTCCCATGGTAAACTGCATGCAATTGCTGGAGTCAGTTCTTTTTGTGATACAGTGAAGCTTTATTTTTGTTTGAATGTTAAATTAGGCCCTTTTATGCTTGCTACTTTAAGGCATATGATAAACGTTTGTTTTCTGACAGGCTCATAATTAGCCCAGTTTAACTGTCCACTCAGTAATACAATCTCTCTTGGCCTTGTATTTGGTGTCATAAGATGACAAAGTGTGATCTGTATACTGCAAAGCTAAAAGGAGCAGGTAACTGTTATTTCTCGGTGAGCTGGCTATTATGTAATGTTACATGGAAATTAGCTAGAAATAGAAGGTACCTGTTTGTTATTTCTGCTCTACTGGAGGATGGGTATTGAAGTCCTGAGAAAAAGCAGGAGTTGGTGAAACATTTTACTTCATGGTATATATTACCTTGTATTCCTTGTGGCTTTTCCTGAGTAAAAATGTAATCCAAATATGTAGATGAGGAGATAGTTGTATTCAGAAGTAATTTTTATGTGGATTTTTTTTAGCACTGTTTTAGTGCAGTGTTTTTGAGATCCATGCTCTGTATAAGCTATGGAGATACCAGCAAAGCCCTTCCTTTCAGAATTGGGAAGAGGAGAGTGGGAACAAACCCTACTCCTGTCATATGAGCAAGCTGTTTTTCAGGGAACTAATTATGCTGACAGATTTTTTTTCCTGTCACTAATGACTTCCTCATCCTAAATATAAGCTAAGATTTGAAAGGTAGCAAAACTTTGTAATAAGAACAGAATGTTTCAGTGACATTGATTGTATTGTAAGTGACATCATTCTCCAAAGTTCAATATTCCTTTGGAATAACATTTCTATTGGAAGTTTAATGGGAACAGTTTATTAAATATACTACAGAAAATTCCAATTTCGTGACAAATTTACAATAGAGATATTTTTAATGTAGTTTGATGGTGATAAGTGTTGGTCACCAACTTAATTTGTTTTAAAAATCCATATTTTAATTTATCTAGTCTGCAGTTTGCCTTTCAAAAGTTTTTTCTTGGCAATAACTAGCCATCAACCTCAGAGATTCCCAATTTTTTTCTTACTAACATCTAGGAAATCAAAAATTTGTGTTCAGGAAAATTAGGAGGAATTTTCAGAAAGTATTGTAGAACCGCCTTATGAGAAATTTGTGAAGTGTTAAGTTTTTGATTGTGTTGAGAAGCCAGCTGAACACATGATAGCTCTTTGAATGCAGAATAGGAAAGTGCAAGCTTTAATATTCTTCTAAGCTGACTGCAGGATGGATTGTTTCCTAAATAATGAATTATGCTAGAACTGAAGTTCTCTGCAGTCTTTATATGGCTTCATTCTCTCTTTTTTCTTTTTTTTAACCAGGCCTTGGATTTCAGTGATGATGAAAAAGAAAGAGAGGCAAAACAGAAGAAAAAAAAGCCTCAAAGTCAAGGAAGGAAGAAACTTAGATCAGAAACAAATGTATCAAGTGAGTGAATGTTACAGGAGAATGCTTTTGTCTGTTAAACAGAGTTTGACATACACAATGTTATCTGTCTTAATAATTGAGCTTTCATACAGTTAATCAGTATTTCTGTGCTTTACAAAGTTATATTTGTGAATTTGTGGCTATGTTTTTTTTTTTTTTTTTTTTTAAAAAAAAGGAAAACTAAGGTGTTTTCCATTAAACTATGGAAAAGAAGTAGTATAGGAACAGGACACTTGGCAGAGGAGATTCAAAGGCTCTTACAACAGTGTCAGCTGACACACAGTGAGGATATTGAACAGATGCCACCTTTTGGAGTTTAAAGCTTGCTTATTTGCAGGGGTTATTGAGGCCCAAGTTCAGCTTAAGCCTTTGAGTGCAGGGAGAAGATAGAGGAAGGCCATGTGCAATTTTTGGAAACCCATTTTTTTGACAATCAGAAAGAAGACACAAGTCTTAGGACATTTATTCCTTTGTCTGAAAAGTAAGCTCTTCCTCACCTATGGCATATAAATACTCCTTTAAAATAAGTGTTACTTGTGTAGCCCACTGAGAACCTCTCTGTTTACCTAACACAGTCATTAGATAAACTTATAGTAGTTTAATAAACTATGTGTAGTTTTTCATAGTATACATAGTGCCTTCACCTTCCTTTCTCCTGTTGACAGATCTGTTCCAGGTGGATGCTTGCAGCTGTGCTCTGCAGTAACCAGATTTTTGTATCTGCCTTTTCTCATGCCTGTCTACTGACAAATCGTTTTGCGTTTTGGTTGAATAATTTAAATCACATCGCTCTTTCTCTGTTCTTGATGGTCTGCTTCTGTTTCCTGTTTTTTGTACCATTCCTTTTAAATACTACTGACTCGCATCCCCTTCCCTCTTCCTCTTCTACTGTTTACATATCAGGTTGTTTCAACTGTATCAGCACAGTGTTTTACCCCATTGATTTTCTTGGACTGACTGCTTCCATGAGTTTGCTGCTCTTCATTTGTAAAGCTGCTAGACACTGTGCCCCACTGAACCCCTTTTCTTTTGATCTGGGAAGTCAGTAACTGTCCTGTTAACTCTTTTACTCTGTGTAGAGTAGATCCCTTCCTTGTACCCTTTAAATACAGCTGCGATCTTTCTTGGACTGGCTTTTGCCCTATGGTTGTGACAGTATTCCCTTAAGGGAAGGATCTGAATCATGCCATATTTCCCCTTCATTGCTGATGGTTATCTCCCGGTTTCTGCTTATCTAGCATATGGCATATTTTCCACTATATCCTTATTCTGCCAGTTTATTGCAGACCTGCCTTTGCGTAGGGCTTGCTGAGGCTGTTACTGAACTATATTCTGTAACTGAGAACACGACAGGAGGAACTGTCTTAATCTGTCAAGAGAGTATGGGTTACAATTTGCTGTGTTTTTCTGTAGATAACATGGTATAAATTGGCATTGTGCGCAATTTAGTTTGGCTATGTAATTCAACAACAAGGATATTTGGCAAACTGAGGTACAAACTCAGTCTCAACTGAAGTTTTTCTTGGTTGCATCTTCATAAAACTCTGGGTGTATTAAAATTGGCTCATTGTTGTAGCCTTTGATAGGAGAAGAAAGAAAAAAAAAAATACTCAGGTGCTTTCACTTCAGTACTTCTGAGGCCTGCATGCACCAAAGGAGTCTTAAGTCCTAATCCCCCATGAAAATAAGTGGGAGTTTTGGTATCCATTTACCTTTCCAGACTTAGCTTTTCAAAGGTGAAAATGTTTCTATGTAGTCTATTGCCAAGGATTAGGTCCACACAGGTTCTTAAAATTCAGTGATTTTATGCAGTGTTATGTACCTAAATACCTTTTTGCTTCTAGCCCTAAAATCCTTTAGAGATCAGGTTTCAGTTTAAATTCTACAGCCTTTTGAATATCTTAGCAGCTCTTTTTAATATTTCAGTGTTCTTAATTTTATAGCATTTATCCCATTAATGCTCTCATGGTGTTTATACCTTTGTTACAGTGTCAATACCTTTGTTACAGACCTTAAATATAGGTTTACAGTGACCTGTACAGTGAATATTCATCTTGGAAAGATGAGTGTTTAAAGCTAATTGGCTAAAGGTACAGGTTTCCTATTTTCTCATAGAGTCAGTTAATTTTATTAATTTCTCGTGTCCTGTGTCCGTGCTGTAATACCAGCTCAGATCTGAAAGCTGTATACCGCTGTAGTGTAATACAGTATTGATTTATCTTCAGTTTTAAAATGTGTTGCTTTTACATCTTGTTTTAAACCAAAGCTTCCAAAATACTCACAGTTTGAGTGTTCCTGTGATTCGTTAATACAAATGAACATGCCTGGAGGGAAAGAATGTGATATTTTTCTCTTAATGGCTGAATTTGCAACCCTCAGGATCATCCTTTCTATATTGCTCTAATAAATCTAGATGAGTTAATAAACAGTAGACTTGCCAGTATTATTTTGTTTATGTATTATTTGCAGTATTATACTGATAAGATTAGTTTCAAATTTCCTTGACTTCAGCTTGAAGGATTTGTGAGGACTGTAGTTAATCTTCCCAAAAGAATAATAGAACTGTGTGTGTCTGTCTGGTTTTGGTTTTGTGATTTTTTTAGGTGAGAATAAAGGACTTCATCAGTCAGTGCAACAGCCTGCTTCAAGTTATGCAAGGGGATACCGTGGCAGAGGGTTCTCCAGGGATCCGTTTCCTCCTCCATCAGGCCCTCCAGGTTTTTTGAGACCACAAGTAAGACCACCACAGCTATACTCTTCAGAGAACAGAATACATCAGGAATCTCCAGTGTTTCCACAACCTCATAGAAAAGAAAATCCAATGATGCAACAGTATTCCTTTCCTTCTCCAGTTTTTGGTTCTGTTAATGATGTGCATCAATTCCAGCTTCCACCTTCAAATCTGAATATGATTTGGACAGGCCCGAACATGTACAACTCATCATACCCATTTTTGCTGCCACCGCCACCACCTCCTCCACCTCCTCCAGATAGCCATCCTTCTCAGTTTAGGCCTTACTAAGTTTCTATAAATGTGCATACAGAGCATTGCAATGTAAAGGGAGGAAGAACAGGCTGCTAAGACTGTATCCCCTTATTTTGGAGATGCTTCATTTTTCTGCAACTGTAGAACAAATACAGAGTTTGATGCTTTGTGGGACATCCATAGATATCTTTTTATTTTCTATATATGTTTTCTGTTTCAAAAAAGAAAGCTGTATGAGAAAAATAACTCAATATTAAATGATGATTTATTTTTATTATACCTATTAGTTTGGGATGATAAATAAAAACTTTTTGGAGACTAATATGTAGTGGTGGAAATCTATTTTGTATTAAATTTAAGAGTTTATGTAACTGCTGTCTAATACTGATGAGGGTATGTCACATATATGGTATTTTAATACTTTTAGAGTGGTTGTATATTGCTATGATAAACAAATCTCAGTTTCTGCAAATTTTGAAACCTACTTGCATGGAAAGTAAGAATATGACATCTAGATTTTAAACTAGGTTTTCCAGTATTTATATAAAGTATAAAGTCCTGTTAATCCAACTTCTAGTATTTTGTTAATTTTGTATTAACTAAAAGACTGGAGCTGGATGGTCTTTTTTTAAATAACTGAAGCAGATAGATAAGCAGCTGAATTACTCTGTCAGATTTAGTGTCCTCCAATAGCTGTAGAAGATAACTTATCAATTAGATGTTTAGTAGTTAATAAAGGATGTAAAACTTCATGGTATGGGGAATTTAAAAATGAGCATAACTTCTAAACCTGCTTAAAACTTTATAAGCCAGCTTGTCTTTGCTCCTAGTGCAGAAATGCCCATAGATACATACAGTATGTAGTGAGCCCTTCTAGGAAGAAGTCATCAGACCTGTCAGGGAGAGAAAGTATGCCATTTCAGAACTCTTTTGTTTAAATTTTTATCCAGAATGCAGATAGCACTAATTTGCTGTTGATTGTTCTTACAGTCAAAACTCTCTTCTGAAATTACAAGGTTCATCAGCTCTCCCAGCTTGTTTCTATGAGGAGGGTGGAATTGACAAAGGCAGTCTGGAACAAACTCCAGCTGTCCTAAGGGTCAGTCCAGAAATTTCACTTCCTTAGTTTCCATGAAGGTGACTCTGACTAGAATGAAAACCCTTACTGCATGAAGATTTTAAAGAGGAAAAAAATAACTGTGGGACAGCCATCTTAAAGATGGCATTTCCACTGAAAAATCATTACTAATTGTAATGATTTTTGGATCATTAGATGCTTTGAGCCATTGAACAGAACTGATAGAAGTGTGCAGTATGTATTTCTATTCTCAAATGCGTATTGGCCTTGTTACTTTGGATATGTATTTAAAAGCTAATTAAGCTCTGTGGGTGTTGCTTAGACTTTTATTCTATTTCCAAATAACTTAAGAATGAAGAAAAAATTTCATGCACAGAGGGAAGGACCATCTTGTTAAGATGCTGCTACTGTGAGTTAGAATTTAATTTCAGATTTCTGAATTTTCCCTTAATATACTTAAGTAAAAATTGTATTCTCTAATATATCTAAAACTACTATTTCATAGGTGTGCAACTGAGAAGATTATATAGATCCCAGATTTTTTGGCAGACGTACTGTGGAATGGCAACAAACTTGTTTCAGAACAATATCATTCCAGACAGTAGTGTTTAACTGTTCTTGCAGAATTTTTTTTTTTTTGTAGTAAAAAAAAAAAGTTCAGTTCTGGACTGTTGTAAATGCTTATGTTTTGGGGGAAAGGAGAAGGGCTAAGCTGTACCCCAGCTATTACCATTGCTATTTATAGGTCACAATGTGAGTAAACTCACTACAGCCTCATCTCTGAGGCTTAGCAGATTTAGTTTGTCTGAGCTTCCCTTGACTCACCTGCAGCTTTCTTTTTACTTGGCTTAGCTATAACAATTTTTTAAATGTCCAGGTAGGTATGATTAATTTGTTTTACTTGTAATTTTTTTAAATGATATACACATAGGTTTTTACAGCAATGGCAGTGGAAAGTAGTTATTCTGTGTAGCATGCAGTATTTATGGCTTTATTGGCATAAGATAGTGTAGAGGAATAGAGACCTGACATGATAACAGAAGCCTGAAGTGGCAGCACAGGTTGCGGGGTAGAGAAGTACCTGGGATGTGTGGTCTCTATGGGGCAGGGCTGGCACGGGAAACCTGTGGGTTTCAAACTGCTCCCCAGTGGTCAGTTGAGGAAGTGCAATCCTGGCTGTAGACAAAACTTGTTTTGAATGTAAGGGAGAGAATATCTATGCAACACGTGTAAAATGCACCATATACAATAATATCAGATGTAATTGTGAGCATGCAGTCAGATGAAGAAAGAGCAAGATGTTACAAGCGTGTTATTGGACATAAAAGCGATCCCAAGTAAATTACAGATTAAGGAAGAAGAAACTGCCAATGACATACTTGGATTTGGGACGTTGATGACTTGCTGTATGTCCCTGGCACAAACCCATACCATCAGCTTCGAGATCCTAAGGGTTGGTTGAAGGTTAAGCATAACTCTAGGAAAAGGAGTGAGGTAATAGGAAATGTATGTACAACAATTTTAACTATTACTGCTATTAGACCTTTTTTATGTATAGTAATGTTCACTTTTTTTTTCTTTTAATTGGATCTGGTCTAATAATAATTCTTTGATTAGTCTGTTAAGATTTCAGTTATACTAAGGTGTATCCTATCTTGCTATAACAACATTTTATTTGGAACAAAAGCCAATATAAAATTAGGTTACAGAATGTAGGTTGACAGAAATTTATTCTGGTCTAAGCCATTTTGTCAATGTTTGGTAGTTAGCTGCAGTACTGGTTCTGTGTGTTCTTGCTTGTTTTTTTATGTTGAAACAAATTTGGCAGGTGTTCTGCGTTTAGTGAGTACAGGTCACACTTGCAGAACTTTGCTTGGAATCAACTTTAGTTCTTCATTATGAAATTACTTGAGAGCTAGGTATAATTACTGAGTTTGAAATATATGGAGGATTGATTTCCTTGCCCAAAATAGTGTGTTGCACACAATGTCCCTTACACCGAAGAATAAGCATTGCAATAGATTGTTAGAGTAGCACTGTGTTAATTTGAAAATAGAGCTAATGTAAGTTTTTTTTTTTTTTTCTTTTAGTAAAGATCTTGTATGTAATCATTGATTATTAAGTTTCCTCATATAGCTGTTTGTAGTCAGTAGCATTGCACAGATCCCATCAGACCCTGGTTCAGTGTGCTTGATGCTTGCTATTGAGGAAGCGGTATAAGTTGCAGTGATTTGGGGAGATTAGAACTGAAGTGTGGGCAAGTTTAGCTGTTGGGGGAAGGAAAATAAAACGGTGTGCTTGACAGTGTTTCCATGACATTCCTTTTTCTTCTTTTGTATCATTTAACTCTGAAAAATGTCCCCCTCTTTGTCCACGGGGCTTTAAATCCTTAACTGTAAAGCTTGTGAGAACTGGCCTGACAATTTTAGTGGTAAGAATGGCTGGTTTTGTTTGGCCCCACTATTTTTATGTCAAGCTGTTTTATAGAAATCTATGTTACTGTGTTACTGTGTTACATTAAATATATTACTGCATTAAAGTGTTAGAGCAATATGCTATAATAGGATTACAGTAACTGATCTGCTCAACTGCACGCTTGTGTCAGGGACACCAGTTCAGTCCTAGACACAACAGGGACAGATCCTTGGCAAATGAAGCACATCATCTTCCATTTTTCTCTGCTGCTGGAAATTGAACAGTAATGCACATTAGCCCAATCCTTGATCCGTGCTACTTAGGAGCAGGCAGAGCTTTTAAATCTGAAATAACTCAGTGTGTAATGCACCCTTTCTAGAGAATACTCCAAATTTAAAAAGCCAGTCAGCCAGAAAATAGAAGCCATGAAATGTGAATTGTGCAGAAAGCAGGTCCTCAGCACCAACACTTTGTCTGCAGATCTCTTGTTAGCTGGTCCACACTACTTGCTAATGTGGGTGTAATTTTAATATTCAGCATGTACTGCAATAAACCTTGTTTTTCATAGATACTGCTTAGGCATGTTTCTAATATAGGTACACAAAGACAGAAGGGCTTAAAATTCTCTGTTCCCTCTGACTATCGATAGCGTTCAATTGTGATGCCAGTTGAAAATACCAGCAAACACCTATTTGACAGGAATTTCGCTATGACCGCTGTGTTAGCAGTTGGCAAGTTGCTGGATTAGTACACTGATAACAAGAAAGGTGTTGAAACCAGCATTTTATTGAGTAGAACCATTGGAATATATCTGATAGGTTGTGTTTAAAAACAAACAAAACTATCTAACTCTCCCCTCTTCCCCTCCCCTCAAAAAACAGCTAAAGAAAAAAACCAAACAAAAACCCCCATGCTAAATTTGTGAAGTGGATTTGTGCAATGAAATAGCCAGCTGTGAAGCAAGAAGAGGGGGATCCCAGCTTCCACAGTGCTTACTGAATACAGTTCACATTAGTCCATGTGTTTAAAAAAACCCAACCAACCAAACTTTTAATTTCTGAATTTGTCTTCCCATATGTACAGATATCACTTCCTAATTCTGCTGGGTAGTCACCCTGTTTTGAATACAAGAAATGTAAACTTACACTGTTCAGGGGTCGAAGATGAATCAGAGTGGAGGAAAAATGCCATCATGTCTTATCTTCCCTGTGGAGTAACTTCAGCTATGAATTCATTTATGTTCCTTCAGTTAGCCAACGTCATTCACCTACTTATGTCTGAATACTCTCTTTCTAAATAAATGTATTTGGTGTAGGAATACTACAATGACTTGTTATGAACTTTTCACTTTTACAAAATTGTTAGGATTTGCTAAATTGTTGGGAGGTTAGAACCTTACAATAGCTTGGTTTCAGATATAGTTGGAAAGTCTGTAAAAGCCTCAAAAGAAGAGAGCATTTTCCTCTCAACACGAGTAAAGCAAAGTCAACATCAGAAAAGTTTTGAGTCCAAGATGGATTTTTCAGAGGTGACTCCCAACCACTCCTCCATCTGTGCCAAAAGTATCAGAGATAGCTAGGCTTTGGGCTGTAATGGGTCAGATGCAAGTCTTCAATAAAGTAACATTTTGTAGAAGGCCATAATTTCTCTATGACTCGTCTATTTTCAAATTCAGCCTGGAGACCTGCAGTAGAGTCCTGTCACTTCTGTAACATTTTTAGTTATTCTTCCATGGGATTTAATGTTTCTTCATGGGCTACTTTTCTCTAGGAAGCTTAAGGCAGGGGATGAGTGAAAAGGCAGAGAGGAGAGAGACTTGAGGAAAAGCAGAGATTTAGGGGAAGAATTGGCTGGAATTTCTCAAATGGCTGAGGTTTATAAATAGAAGTATACATACAGTAAACTATTGGACTTTGTAAATGTAACTGTGGTGACATGAGAAAATGAAAATTGTAATCACATACTTAACATTCCTTTTACATTTGTTAACAAACAACTTTGGTATTTTTGCTGACTTTTAACTCCAGTTTGGACAAGTGTCAGCAGTGAGAAGGGGCTGAACTTTTTTCCTAGAGGTGAGATTTCTTAAAGGAAAATTCTGAGAAGTACTGTGGGGAGAGGGGGAAGTTCACACTGCCGCAGTTTGCTCCACAGAAATGGTGGAATCTGTGATCTTGGAGGGATTCAGAAACTCTGTAGACAAGGGCCTGTGTGAAATAATTTCCAAGTTAGTCTCACTTTGAGTGGAGAGGTAGAGATGGTCTTACGAAAG